CGTTCAAACTAAAATGTGTCTCAAGCGGCGACCGCGGGAACGCAACTCCAGGAACAAAATTCTTGTTCACTTCTGCAACTTCGAGAAACCAATTGAGCAAAAAAGTACGCAAAATGAGGCAATTTCTTGCTTCAATATACCTAACTAACCATGGAGCATAAGAAATAAAAAAAAAATTATGAGAAGAGTAAGAAGTTACCTTCAAGATGCGAAATGGGGGGCGGAAGAAAAGACGAGTGGAGCCATGGCGGAAGAACAATTCCATCGATAATGAGCTTGGACGCGAGGTGTTGGTCGAAGAGATTGGACTGGTGCTTGGCCTGGTCGATGATCCACTTCTTCGTCTCGAAAATCTGCACGAACAGCTTCTCCATCGTCGCCATGCTTCAGAAATTGGCCATGAAGAACGGTTGGAGTAGCAGAGAGGAAGAATTGGGTTCAGCGGGGCAACTGAATTCAAATTTTGTGCACGTTATGGTTCGATTCCGAAAAAGGTCTCTTTATCCTTAGCAAATAAAAAAATAATTAAATTAATACTTTTACAATTTAATTTTTAAATTTTTAATTTCATATATAATAAATCTAAAAAATGAAATAATCAACTCCATGTAAATTAATTTTATATTTAATACCTATCAGTTTTGTATATTACTATTTAATTTCATAGACGGCACTCGTCTTTGCATTCGTCACTACAAATTCACGTACCACTCGAAAAAACAAGTTGTCGTGTATGAGTATAGAAATATTGTCAGTAATTAGCTCTTTTGTAGACTTTTAATTAACACTATTCTCGAATTAACCAGCTTTAACTGACTCGATACTTGCGCCTCGACCAGACTTGGGTTGCACATGCGTCAATGCCCTATTGTGCCACTGTCAACCCGAAGCAAAAAAAAAAAAAACTCATTGGCTTGCAGCTCAACTCGACTATCTGCCGTCCTTCACCTAAAAAATGGCTCGATCGACTCGGTTTAACAATTTTGACATCGACCCATATGTTTTTTACCCCTTCTAGAGCTGATTTTGACCCTAAATAAGATATTCGAGATCATTATAATGCCTTATTTCACAAATTTAAGTTGAATTATATTAGAATGGTGAAATACTACCAAAAGGCGATGAACAACTTAATAGGAAATGATCCCCAACAACATTTGGAGCAATTTCGAGGAACGAAAGCTTAACAAACGCAAATTTAAGAAAATATCGACTAAGGTCAAACAAGTAAGTGGTTTTACTATAGAATTGGTTAAACCAATGCTTGACATATGACGACACGTGCTGTTATGTTTTATGTTTATGATGCCTTTATGATGTATGAATTATAAAATGATGTTTTACGATGATTATGATGTGTTTATGATAACTTTGAATGATATTGACGATGCATGCTAACATGGCGACGTTGGATGATGCTATTCCTTAACATGATGTTATTTTCCGTAAAACATGTTGTGAAACATCGGTAGGCACTCGATCGAAATGTTTCGTGTTTGGTTTCGTTTTGACGGCTTATTTAGCCTTGTTGTTAGTGATTTTGTGCCTCGAGGAGCTTAGAACTTGAAGAAAATATTGTATCTTCACTCATTTCAATATTTAACAAAAATGTATCTTCCATTTCTTGATCTTTTTTCAAGGTTGAAGTTCATCACTCTCGAGTCGGTCAATATTCATAAGGCGACCTGTCTTTATTTGATGGAATAAATTTTTCTTTTTTCTCTTTGTTAGCATATCACAGCCCACTTGTCACAATCACAATTTCGATAGCAGCGGACCTGCGGTTGTGTGGCACTCACTTCCTAACAAGAAGTGAGTTAAGTGAATTCATTATTGCGTCGCCTACGGCCAAGCAACGTATTCTCGAGCCTCTGACCCTGGTTCAAGAAGAAGGTTTTAGAAAACGGGGAAGAGAGATTTCGAAAGAGAGTTTTGAAAGCAAGATTTGAAATATTGAAATTGGTGTTATATGTGATGCAAACAAAAAATGCAACAACAATGGCTTACAACATATAACTATCGGGTAGGGAGAAGTTGACAGCTAATTCATAGTAAAAAAATGAATCTCAAAACCCGAGATCAAGACACAAAACTACATAGAAACCAAAGCCTCACTACCCGAAAAAGACAAAAAAAAAATGTCCAAAAGAAATAACTCGTCAAAATCCGAAGAAGAAGTTTCGAATAGGAACAACTCAAATGTCCTCCCAACCAGAATAAGCACGAGCAACTATATCAACTTGAATAATATTTAAGATAGTACACGAGGGCAATTGGCAACAACTGACCCATGAAGCCGAAAATTTTATTCCCGTATAAGAATATTTGCTAAAACTACCAGCAAAAGTTCTCTATTTATAATCAAAATAGATAGAGAAAGAGTAATAAACGGTAAAATATTTATATATAATAAAATATCAAATATTATATATATGGTAAACTATAATTCAGTACTAAATATCCTCTAGGCTCTAAACATGACACTAACGACGCTCACCCGTGCCCATCTAGCAAGTGTATGCTAACGCAATGTCGGTCGAAAAAAATGTGGTGGCTAAAACATCTCCGACACGAAACCCGAGTCCATACTACCCAACTAAAACGACAATCAAAGAACAAGTGATCCCAAGATTCAACACTGCCACTCCAAGACATGTGTCAAGAAATGAATTCCAATAAAATTAAGAACATTTATACCAAATTACAGATGGGATACCCATAAGAACACTTACACTAATCAAACACTGATTAACAAACCCTCCAAATCTTTGTCGATAAACATGGCGGTGCTCAAACCTTACTCTGTTTCTTCCACTCGACACATGTCTTCCCCCACCGCATGCCGTTTTCAAGAATCACCCAAATCCCATTTGTTTTCTTCGTTTATAAATCTCAATCCCTCAATTCCCTTCAAATCCCCACCGATTCATCATGTCTCCGGCGAAATTTCTGGCTCTGGTTATCGTCTTCCACCTCAAATCCACCATCACCGCCGCCGACGACGCCTCCATGCCCACACCCACCTCCTGCGATAACTGCGCCCTTTGTCAATCTGCCTGCCGCCCACCTCCTTCTGATGCACAACCACTATCGCCGCCTCCACCACCGCCGCCAATTGCAGAGCCAGAGCCACTTCCAGTGCCGGTTCCCCCGGCGAACTGTCCTCCCACTATTGTCCAGTGCTGCCAGTTTATGCCGCCACCGGCACCGCCGCCGCCGAATGGTAATAATATATATACGCCGTTTTATAATGAGTCGTGTTCTTCATTTTTGAAAGGTGGGTTGGTCTCTGTTTTGGCCCCTGTTTTTGGGGTGGCCGCCATTTTCTGAAGCTTTTTGTTGGGCTGTTAATAAGATTTTAAATTTGGGTTCCATGGTGGTTTTGGTGGTGTGTAGTGCAAAAATGTTATGACCTGAAATTCTGCAGGCGATTGGAGAAGATGATCGACGACTTTTTGTTGACTTTTCAAATATATGAATGTAATAATGGATGGTTTCTTGTTCTATGTTGTGACGCAAAAATTTTAGCACCCTTTCAACATTATTTATTTTTCTTGTTCTATGGTGTGGTTAAATGTCATGTATGTTTTAATGTGTCACTATAATGTTTAGTACAAATGCGTACCTTACGATATTTACATTTGTTAGTGGGTAGCGGGTCATTTCTTTCCATAGTATCTAGAAACATGAGCCTGCACTAGTCTAATGAGCTGAGTCCAGGGGTAAGTATACAAGCCTATCTAATGGGTTCATGTGCGCACGTCTACACATACAAACCTATATAGACTAAAAAAACAGAACTCAATGTTATGTCATGATGTTTTTGCAAAAGGATAGGTCCCACTATGATTACATGTGTATGCATTTTCCGACTCTAATAGTGAAATTACTTACTGAGTATTTTTTAAAATTCTCATACTCAAGTCACATTCTACTATTATTTTCAAGTAAAGGTAAGATTCCATCGATAGTTTAGAGGCCATGAAATCAAAGCTAAGATAATTACATTTATGTTTAAATTGTAGTCCGGCGTTTTCATTATCTTGAACTTATGGCTAACTCTATGACATTGTTTATAAAAATGTTACATTTTTACATTTTTAAAGGTATATTTTTATATAATTATTTAATTTAATTTAAGACATAAAAAGAAAGATCCAAACACTTGCTTTTGAGGGGAGGAAGAAACTTGAAGGTTACAAAATGTAATATTTGAAAAATGACAAAAGCTCTTCATTTTAGGTCTTATCTTTTAAAAGTTATGCGGTGAATAAGATGCCTAAATCACAAAATTCAATATTAACATTATACTTTTCAAATTTATTAAATCAAATTATAAAATATATATATATATATATAAATAAATTATTCAAAAGAAAATGAAAATACGAATAACTACAAATAAATCAATGGAAATAAGTTATCGAGGACGATGACTAAGTTAAGTGGAGGAGAATGTTACAACCATAGTATGAAGAGAGTAGGTTGTGACTCTCACGCCATGACAAGCAAAGGGGCGTCTCTCAAGAGACGCCCCATTCGGCCATATGCGGGCCAACATAGAAGAATGCCATGATGCGATCGAGGAGGACGAGGCATCATCCAACATACCACCACGCAAAGTGGGTATGAAGATATATGTTGAGACATAAGCATAACAGAGACATTAGCATAGACATGAAGGACAAGATAGGCTTGTTGAAGGGCCAGGTAGGGCCCCGACACTCCAGGAGAGTAGCTACAAAGAATCAACGTAAGGAGCTACAGAAATATACACCTAATGATCTTCTCTTCCTTCCTTCGATGGCTAGATGGGAATGAAATGAAAAGATACAAACCAAAACATCTTAATCATGCTACATGCACGGTCTAAATTTACAACAAAATGAAGCCGCATTAAATGCACTCGAATCAGCCCAAGATTTTATTAAACCAAAAAAGAATAAAAAAAACTAATCACAATCTTCATTTAAATTTACATTAATTAATTAAGTGATTAACAAACGGTGTTGAAAGTTTCACTATCAAAACAAATCACAGTAGTAGAAATTTCTATTCATTCCAAACTGAAAAATATAATAATAATAAAAAGTAACAAATAAACACGACAGATCATTCATTGCACAATACAACCGATTGGAATTATTTTAAAAAACAATTATTCGAAGTCTAATAAAATAAAAATAAAAATAGGAAAAAATTAGGATATGGAAAAAAATAATTTAGGGCCGGCAATGTGAAGAGGACGACTTACAGGAGAAGAAGCGCTGCCAATCCAGAAATTCCGGCCAAAACAAATCTCCATCCATCCAGCCTCGCCGCGCTACCAGTGTCGTCCGCTGTCTTATCTGCCGAATCTTCGTCCGACGGGGAATCTTCCGGTGAGTCTGCTGCAGGAGTCGTTGTGCCCTTGTGCCGACGAGAATGAGGCTTTGGCGCGTCGGCAGGTTTCTCCTCCTCGGGCGCTGGAGCCGGTGACGGTGACAGAGACGGAGAAGCCTTGAAGAGCTCTCTTGGCTTCAGAACTTTGTTGATCGTGTAGATCGCCACTGGTTGCTCGTCGTGAAGCGTGCTGGTGACCTTGGCGGTTACAACCTTCGTTTGGATAGTGACCACTTCGCCATCGTTTTGCACGACGAAATCGTACTTGTTGGCGCCGTCTGTAGCCAAGGTGTTCATTACGCCATTGTTGGACTTAAGCATAGACATAGACATGTAAACAGGCAATCCGTGGTATTCGAGCAACGATGTCTTTCCAGCGGCCGTCAAGTTCTTATACTTCGGCAAAAACGCCTTGAAAGCGTCATCAACAGGACAGAAAATCGTCAATCCACCGATTGCGTTTTCCTGAAAAACCTTCGCAGCGTCGGAGGCCTGAAACGCATCGGCGAAGACCTTGCAACCGTGAGCGGACATTAATCCGGTCAAATTCATCTCACTTGGAGACGGAGTTGGAGCCTCCGCCACTTCCGACGGCAAGATCTTACTGATATGAATCACAGAGATATTGTACGGAGCCTCCTCCACAGATTTCACAAACATCGCATCAATGGCGTCACTATCTTGAAGAGCAAATCCTACCTTCCCGCCCTTAAAATTTGTGATGTTGACGAAACCGGAAGCACCGGGAGCAGCGCCGGTGGTCTGAAACATAGTCGCTACGAGAGCAGTGCCATTGGTGATCTGGTGAAGCTTCTTGGCTCCGTAGTAGTCTAGGAGGACATGGAGCGAGAGCGTGTGCTTGATGGAGTAAATAGAAAGCTTCTTCGCCAAGAGATCGGACATGACGGAATTATCGACAGCGCAGACGGTAATAGTGGTTCTCCGGTTGATCTCCGGCGCGAGGTGAGTAGTAGTCAAGTAGTCGTTGAAGGTGGAGAACTCCGGGTGCTTCGCAAGCAACTTCGTGATGTTGTGAGCCCTAGCGGCAGAACTCACGAGGAGAAGCACGGCAAGGAGCATTGTCCCGGCGGCTGTGCCGCAACGGAGCTGCTGCATTGTGAATCGTAAGAGGAAGAGAAACAGGGCTGAGTTTGTGGGAATTGGAGCGAAGTGAGTGCGAAAGGAAGACGATAGCAGAGAGAAGGAGTGAGAGTTTAAAAGAACAAATTGGGCTCAGAGATGAAAATTATTACAACTAAACCACTGGAATTCTCTTTTTCTGACTCATCCCGCATTTTATTTTCTTTTCTTTTTGGGTTTTTTTTATTTAATAATTATTTTACACGTCAGCCGTGTTACATGTGTTTGCACTTTTTAACTCCAACAGTAGGATTACTTACTCATATACCGACACCCGTTAAGGAGACCATGAAATAAAAGTCACTATATATAGTGTAACGACCCATACCCAGAATTCAAAATCTGGATTCGGTACCTAATGGCCTCAACATTCCCTTAGCCACTTAAAAGGAAGGTACACCTTATTTGTATATGTAGTGACTTTCCATACTTCTTTTTTAGTTATCTTATACTCAGATTCCTCCGATTGTGTTGTGGTCTTGGTTCATTCATGTACCTCTCATTTACTCAGATTCCTCTGATTGGATTGTGTTGTGGTTGCATAAAATTTTTACATTTACGTAATATATTATAATATTTAGAATCGAATTTTAATTATGAAACTTAGAAGTTAATTAAAATTTATATAATAGAAGCTTCAATATTATATTAGAGTATGGTAAGCCAAGTGTACATTTTTTGTATTTTCTTTGTGTGTTATATAATTAATTATTGTTTGGAGACCGACAAATTAATTTCTCTAAATATAATAAAGAATTAATTATCATAAGTAAGCGCGTCACCACTTTTATAATTAAATCTGAATAATTAACCCGATATTAATCAATAAAGAAAATAAAAGGAAAATTACAGATAAATTATAATATAAATTAAAGTTGTTGCCTAAAATAAACCACTAAAATTTTAAATTTTAAAAGTTTTTATTATAAATATTTATGCTTCATTTTTCACCATTTTAGTATTTCAAAATTTTAATTTTATATTTTATAAATTTGATTCAAATGATTTTAATTCGTAAAGTTGAAGTTGGGAGAGGATCTGTCCTAAATGAATGAAAGTTCCACATCGGCTAATTTAGGGAATGATCATGGGTTTATAAGTGAGGAATACTAACTCCATTGGAATGAAGCCTTTTGGAGAAGCTCAAAGCAAAGTCATGAGAGTTTATATTCAAAAGTGGACAATATCATACCATTGTGGAGAGTCTTGTTCATCTAATAGGGACTATAAGAGGAAACAGATAAAAATTTCTCTTCGTTAGTTGAATGGGGTCGGAGATGGGGATCCTGCTCTCTACCCCCAATCTCGTCTCAATCTCCACTTGCCTCTTCGTTAGCTAAACAGGCTCGAAAAAGGACTCTACTCTCCACCCCCAACATCGTTTATAAAATGTCTTATTCCCAATTAAAAAAATGTTGCAACAGTAATAGATTTTTGGTTCTTAGTACTAACATTATTGTATAACAGAGAGGCAGATGGAGAGCATAATCGTTTAAAATCTCGTAATATTGTATCATTAACATCGTTTATAATCGTCAAATATTGTTAAACGATATTAGGTTGATTTATTTGACGTTTATAAACGATATTAGTGATACAATGTGACTTGCAAATATTTAATACTTGAGTTTTATATGATTTTAGTCATTTTAACATTTTGTGTAATTTAATTAAAGACTAAAATGGTAATTCAACGTATTTATTAAATAATTAAAAATAGTTAGTATTATAATATTAGAGATCGTCGGTTAGGTTGGGCTTGACCCGACAAAGTGGGAAAATACGCTGGAATAGCATTTTTGGTAATTTTGCCAAAAGTAGAAGGGTATTATGGTCTAAGAAAACAGCTAGGACCAAAGTTTAGTACGTGGGGAATGTGCCAACTGGGCCAATGATGGAGGTTGGATGCCACGTGTACGGTTAAGATGACAACAGGAGTTTATATCATTGTCGGTGGGATCCGTCCACCGACATTCAGATTTATGGCTTTTGGAATGGTTTTTTCTGATGTTTAAATTTAAATTTTGTATTTTTATTTCTCATTTTCTTCCTCATCTTATTTTTTTTTTTGTAATTATTAATTTGGTATGCAATATTCTATTTTTGTATTTTTATTTATCATTTTCTTCCTCATCTAAATATATATATATATATATATATATATATATATATTTTATAATTATTAATTTAGTATTTAATATTGTACCATCCATAAATTTATGGAATAATGTCATTCAATAAAAAAATGTCATTAAAATTTTGGTGCTAACAAAATTATTAGGACATACGTACTACTCGTTACATAAATGTTATCGATATGAAGTTGGGCTATAAAAATTAAAATTTCCCGCCTCTGCCCTCACACACATTCGCGCCCTACCCTTTCTCCCTCTGCGCGTGTTGCCCCCCACACACCCTCGCGCGCCCCTCCTCAATCCCCACACGTCCTAACAAGGTGCGGTGCGCGCGCGGAGGTCGTGTCCACCAGAACTTTATCTCAATATACTTTAAACAAAAATGTCATAATTCTTTTTTATCTTTAACTCATAAATTATATGTATATATAACTTTTAAAATTAAATAAATATCTTAGTGTAACAATTGTTTTATATATAAATCTTTTTTTAATTTATTTTATTGTTTTTTAATAAATTATTATAAGTGTTAAGATTTATAAATATATTTTACTTACTATATATAATATTTGATTTCGTACTAAATATTTATAATTAAAATTTTGTTTTTTATTTTATTAATTATATACTTATTTATTTACTGCCTGTTATGAATATGTATAAATAAATAATTAAACATCAATTTAAATTAAATATTATGCTCTAAAATATCGTAATTAATTATTTATTTTTCATAATAATTTTAATTGTTTTATTTATAATTTATTATTATGGATGGTATGAAAAATTTAAAGTTATTAATGTAATTTAACCTACTATTTTGAGGACTTGATCAAATAGAGAGCTGAGAATATAATATTATGAGACGTAATTTGTTACTTTTCATATAAAGAAAGTAGATGAGTTGTTTTCTTCAATGTTGATTCGGAGACTTGAAAATGGAGCCCCACTCTCTTATGATCTCGATAGGGACTTGATTTATAATTGGATCATAAACAAATTGTTCGTTAGAGGGTTAATGATACTTTAGCAAAACAAACTTTTAACCCATATATAATTACTAACAACTATGAAGTATCGACTTGATTGTAATGATTACATCAATAGACACAACTTGTCTTACCATGCATATGACCGTAGTCAAATTAAGAGTTAATTAATTTTATACTATTAGAATTTGAAATTAATATTTAATATTTTAAATATATATGGAGAGAAAATATTTAATTTGTTTTATTTTAGATTTTTTTAAATTTATTTATAGATATTATTAAAAATTTAAAGTTTGTAATTTTGAAAAAAAAGTATTTTTATTAATTCAGTGTATTTTTATTATGAGAAAGTTAAGAGATATTTATAACGATAGACCAATTTGCTATCATGAGCGTCAAACGTTAACGGCGGACTTTAGCAAAATGATAAAGCCAATCTAAGAAGAAGATGGGGGAAACTTTGCCAGGATTTCCTTGCGCGATTCCAGATAAGGGTTTCTTTCTCTCTCCTCTGTGCGTTTTCTTCCTCTTTTCTTCTGCACTTGTTCCGTAATTGGGGCCTCGATCTCTGAGCTCTATCTTCTCTTGCTTACTTTTCAAATTCATCTCGTACGTGCTTGCGTTTGATTTTTCTTGATGTTTCCTGCATTCGGTTTCTTGATTTGAATGATTTGCTAGAGGAAGTCGCTGAAGAAGGTAGAGATGGATGAAGGAGAGGGAGGGTTCGGTGAGGGTGTGGATCAGATTGATCAGTTTCATCGGAATGAGGCTATTTCTGCTGTTGCTGATGATGGTTTCTTGGGCGAAGATGAGGATGAATACGAGGACCTGTACAACGATGTTAACGTTGGGGAGGGGTTTCTTCAGTCGTTGAGGAAGAACGAAGATTTGGGATTTAAGAACGTGGAGGAGCCCAAGAGGGAGCCTCCTGCAGCTGTAGCACCCAGTTCTGGTGCTTCGATTCCTGGGGTTGGTGGAGGTGCGACGGAAGTTTCTGGCTTAGGAGATGGCGGGCCCAGTGTTTCGGTGAGACCAACCGAGGGATACAATCAGATTCCAGATTTAAGAACGAACGAGATGGCTATCAGAGGTGGGGCTGGATCGGGGCCTCCTATTGGCGGTGGAGGTGGGATTAGGGTTGAATTAGGGCAAGGGAGTAAAACTAACGAGTTGGATGAGCGAAGTAGTAATAACGCAGCTGCGCACCAGGCTCCGCAACAGCAACAGCAACAGCAACAGCAACAGCAACAGCACCACCCCCAACCACCGCAGGGTGGGCTTTTAGGAAACCCTGGAAACGTAGAAAATGAAGGCTTGTTAAGGCAAGGTGGTGGAGTAAATGTAAATGGGGCTGGTGGTAATGGGTTAGGTAATATGGGGAATGCAGGGGGAGGTGGTGGTGGAACGATTTTGTTTGTTGGTGATTTACATTGGTGGACTACGGATGCTGAGCTTGAGGTGGAACTCTGCAAGTATGGTCCGTTGAAGGAGGTCAAGTTCTTCGATGAGAAAGCTAGTGGGAAATCAAAAGGTTACTGCCAGGTTGAGTTTTATGACTCATCCGCTGCCACGGCTTGCAAGGAGGGAATGAATGGCCATATTTTTAATGGACGTCCATGTGTTGTTGCATTTGCATCACCATTTAGTGTTAAGAGGATGGGAGAAGCCCAAGTAAATAGGAACCAGCAGATAGCTCAGGCCACTAATCCTCAAGCAAGAAGAGGTCCTAATGAAGCTGCCGGTAAAATTGGTGGAAGTAACATTGCAACGGGTGGCAATTATCAAGGTGTTGATAACAACAGAGGTTCTGGGCGAGGTAATTGGGGAAGAGGTAATGCACATGGAATGGGAGGTAGAGGACCAGCTGGTCTAATGAGGGGCAGGGGAGGTGGGATGGGTGGAAGAGGTATAATGGGGAATGGTGGAACTGGATTTGGCCAAGGAATTG